TTTTTGCAAAGCGCTGTTCAATTTCAGCAAGAAATTCTTTGCCACTTGTGATATTTTCAGAAACAATGCCCCTAAACACCTCCGGGATGCCGCGCTTAATGATCATTAGACTCATGCGATTTGAGCGATCCCACTTCTCATAATCTCTTTTCTGTTCAGAGGTACTTGAATCCGTAGGAGTAGGGGGTTGCTCAGTCCTTAACACAAGATCCATATCCATGCAGCCAAGAATAATATCAATATTCTCTTTCCAGTCCTTAAAATTTATTCCATTGAGGACCGGAACAGAATTTAAATTGGCAGATACAGAAGCAATTGTAGTTAGATTAGAACAAAAGAAATAAACTAATTATGCTCACATTATAAAATAAATAATTATAAATAAAATATATATTTAAATAATGGTTTAACCCATCTCAAGACACCCAATTTACCATCAATATCAAGTCTTTGGACAGTAATATTAACTACTAGAGGTATCTTGTTGTAATAATCAAACATTGACAATAAAACACGTCCAACAACAAACTAGTCTTTTGATTGATTTATCATCGACAAAGCAAATTCTTATAATTATCACATGTTTATCATTACAGGTGTATATGCAATTCGGTCAAATATTAATCTTCCTTTGGGCCGACTAATACTCGCATGAATATACACAAACACTAACATTCAATATTTTTTATGAACTACCCAATTCAAGAGAGGTTACTTTGGTAAATTTTTGACTCAATTTGTTCATAAAAATATTAAACTACCAAAAAAGTAATATTTTATTTATATAACAAAATCAAATTTATATAATTATTTATTTATTAAAAAAAATTATAATGGTACGGAATCCACCCCTGCCATTCATAAAACAAGTATTTTCCAACTAAACCAAACCACCTAAATACAATCATTCATGCTTCGGTATCAAATAAAGGAAATTTTGATAAAGTAGATTTGACAACCAAATCAATTTTAGTTATTCATCTATCTATGCAAATGGGTCCCCGAGAATCTCCATCATTTCATCGGTGGGGTCCATTTCTAAAAGAATTTCCACCATGCTTACCTTAAAATAGTCTCCTTCAAACTGAATCGGACAATTAAGTGCTTTAATTGAAAGAAATCAAACAGGATAATCCTAATTGCTCATCGAATTGAAACTTCCCCAAAGAAATTCAGCAAAACATCAAAAGCCCCAATTTTTAGAAAACCTTAACCCTAGATCTTTGCAAATCTAACAAGAACGATGAACAAGTATTACGATTCAAACAAAATCAAATTACACAATGCGAGATCTAACAACCCAAACCAAGTTTTAGAAGGATCGGACCCAAATGCCACAAACCCAGAATTTAAAGAGCAGCAAGCAAAGAGAAACACAAAGAATTCAAAGCGTGGACGCAAACTCCTTTGAATACAGAGTAAGACCTTATTCTCTTACTGATTTCCAAATCACAGGAGCTGCATTCACAGAAGGGGAAAAAGAATCGCGGCAGAGGAGAAACAGCCCTACGACCACTATCTGGTCCTTCACCACCTCTCCTTTACCTGGAGCCGCGAGACCTAACCCGGCCACCATGGCCTTGGTTGCGCTTCCCTAATCGCCGCTACAAATCAACCTCACCGTGCTTCTAAACATAGTTATTCCCTTCCCCAGCCACACCAGAGGCGCGTCATGTGGCTTCCTCCAATTCCTCTTTTCCCCACTACGAAGACGACACGATAACCAGTTTCGGCAGTGCCTCGATCAACTCTGAGTCAGCACCGGTGCCGAAACTTCCTCTGTTGCCTAGATAGGTTTCATGGCCCATTCGCATTGGGTACACCCATTGGGAAGCAAAGCTCGAAAATGGGATTTCAGCAGAAACATCAACATCCATATTCTGAGATTTATTCCTGAACGATTTAACATTTTCATTGTGGGAAGCAGACGTAAAGGGCACATCTCCTTCTTTTTCTCCTCGATTAGGGTTTTCATAAGCAACTTCACCAAAGCTACTTCGAAAAACAGATTCCAACGGCAGAAGCTTTCTTATCAAGGAGATTATGTAACTCAGATGAACTTGTGTGATGGAGCAAAAGGGTGGTTTTACCCTAAATTCAAAATTAGGTTTAAAATTTGGGAATTTACTCCCAAAATTAAATTTAGGGTTTAAAAAAATGGAAGAAGATTATTCTCGACTTAGGGTTCTTAATTAAACAGAATCTGAATTTTGTTAGATGTAATTTTCAAAGATAAACATGAATCAAGTATGGGTTGTTTTGATACCACTTGTTAGGTAAACTGTAATTAATTATGATCTTCATTCTAACGATCAAATATAAATGTAATCCCATACTCATAAACATGTTATAAACTGAATGCGAAAGCATACCTAAATTAGCCATAATGATGATATCCTTTGTAGAGCACTATTGATCTTATGGTCTTTCAACTGGAGAGCACCTGTATTTTTCCTCTGAATTTTCTTTCTTGATGGGGATAGAAAGAAAAGAACGGGACTTAAACTTACGTTCTATGTGTGTGCTCCCAGAAGGGAACCATGACCCTTTAAATAACCAGAATTAGGTTAATTACTTAAGTTTTAGTATTTTCAATTTGACCCCTCATCAAATTAGAAATTACTCTATGGTCTCTACACAATTTTATTTTCATGACATATGCCTTTAGCCAAAACTTTAATTTATTCAGATCACTTTATTATTTGGCTTAATAAATAATGACTCTAACACATTAAAATTATGTATCATATATATACATGACCCAAAATTTGCCAACACCGTTAGGAACAAGAATGTCCCGATCTTATATCTATTTTGATAACATCGTTAGTTCCAATATTTGAGGTATTGTCTATTTTGGATCTTTCGTCTGTCATAGTTTTATCCTTAAAAGACACATCTTGGTGGGTTAAAAGAGGAGCGTGTGTATAAACTATCTTTTGCCTCAACTCCTAAACAATGCGAGACTCATGAGTGTACTAGAATATAAGTCTATCAGTTGAGGACTAAGAAGTATAAGAGTGGAGCGAGACACAAAAAAGGTACACTTTTCATCAGAACTACTTGTTAATGCTAAAGCGGTTTGCATTTCTCTCACAGATATGACATCAAGTTTACTACTGTCAAAACTAGACATAATGCATAAATAATGAGAACGTACCTATTGATGCTGAGGGAGTGCTCAAGTAGGAAGTTCAAAGGGAGAAAAAATACAAAAGAAAGAAAAAAATGTGAAAATAGAAAACATGAAAGTGAGTTTTAAGAAGTTTAAAAATAACTTCTGTTCGAATTTTTGATATTAATATTTATATTTCAATTAGCTAAATTTGTTCAGTTTTCATGATGCGAGTTTGGAGAATTTGTGTATCTATCCAACCAAAATCAAGTTGTTATTAGGTCAATTAGTTATGATAACTAGTCCAAATCCATTAAAAATATTATTTTATATTATTATTATTTTGTTATAATATCTTATATTGGTTATTATTTTTTGGGCTTTTAATTGTTATATTTTGACCTATTATTATCTTTTTAGTCCTATATAAAAGGACTCAACTAGGAAGTAAACTTCACTCCATAACTCATTCTCAAATATATAGTTCTTTTGTCTAAAAACCAACTTGAACATCACAATGTCTTTTGCAAGTTAATATATATGTTTTTTGAGTGAGAAAACTTCAATTAGAGATTCTCAATTGACTAACTTAACTTTGTTTTATTATCTTATCGATCACTCTTCGATACAAATATAATATATTATAAGTTGACATAATATATATGTTATATTACAAATTTGATTTTAGAATAAAAGTTAAAATTAAGATTATTAAAAAAATACTAAAATTGAAATGTCTTTTAGGTGAACAAAAATGGAAAAGAGATCAACCCAATCCAATTAAACCTATCAAACCTTTTATGTAAAAAATTGGAAAAGAAATTAATCCAATCCAATTAGGCCTATCAAGTCTTTTATGTGAAAAAAATAAATCTAATTAAAAGTACTAAGTAATTGTTTAGGCTAAAAAAATATAAAGAATTTAATGTAGGACTAAAATTTACCTTTTGTCAAAATATAAATATTTATTAATTCAAAATTATATTAACTTAAAAGTATTATCTATAAACAATTAACACTCTTTAAATTCATTCTCGAATTTATATTCAATACAAAAGTATATTTTTAGCTAGAAAAATTTTATTTGAAAAAAAAAAAACAAAATCGTTGAGGAAGATTAATTTTAAATTAGAAATTAAGTTTTAAGTGAATACAAATATTTATAAGATTTAAAATACAAATAAAACTATTTCTAAACTAATCTCATTTCCAAATATTTATTCAATAAATTTATTTTTATTTATTATTATTATTATTATTATTATTATTATTATTTTATTTCAGAATTGGAGAGATAGAACCTAATTCTGAACGTCTCCATCAGAAGTAAACAAACACATGCTACAAAGTCGCGATTGAATAGTGCTTAGATGAAATCACTTTTGCATTTGTGCGATACAAATTAGTTGTAGATAGAGTTGCATTGGAAGCCAAACCCACCATAAGAAAATCTTTTAATTTTCTCTTAATTAGGTAAAATTAAATAAATATATATATATATATATATATATATATCAATTATTTATGACAGGTGAAAAAAAATAAAATTTTTATACTATGATTTAGAGTATACAAATAAAAACAAATTTGACTTGTATTACGGGTCCTATATTATTTAAAAGTGGAAGTGAAATAGTTGATATAGATATATTGACACTTATATATTTTTTAATAATAAAATCGTAATAAAGTTCTAAAAAATAAAAGTTAAATATAATATATATATATATATATATATATATTAACACTTTTAATAAAAATTAATTTTAACATTGTTATACAGTAAAACTGAAACACTGTGATTTCTCAGAATAGTAACTGTTGGTGTAGATACCACGACCACAAAGAATATTCAATTTTAGAATCTATGTATTTAAAATTTGAAATGGAACCACGAGGCACAATATGGTCCATTCATTGCTGGGAAACGAGGCACACGATGCCACATGCATGTTTGTCTGTTTGTTTGGATTGAAGTTGAAAGTTTCGAATTCACCTTTCTCATTAAAAAAAAAACTATAAAGATATATTTTTTCTCGAATTTTTATAATTTAAAATTAATAAATTAAATCCTTCAATTTTAATCATAATTTATATTATAAATTAAAAAATTAAAAGAAGATAGTTAAGTGTTTTGGAAAACTAGGGAGGACAAAGGCGTCATTAGAGTGAGAAGTGAAAAAAAGGAATAAAAGGCGAGAGGGTATTTTGGTCACGCGGGTTTACAGTAGCAAACAAGAAACAAAGGCTACACAAAACAGAAGGGCCTACAAGTACAAATATCGAGTGTCTGTTTCTGAAGACGCGAAATGCCGAAGATCTCACCTCAAAATAAAGTATCATCAAAATCCTTCTTCACTTCTCACTCATCAACAGTACTCTCTCTTTCTCTCTATCTTCCTCCCGCACTCTTTCTCTGTGTCTCTCTCCAGAACCAGAGGAAGAAGCTCTGGGGAAACCTCAAGAAGAAAAAGAAAAAGAAAAAAAAGCTAGCCTAACCTAGCCAAAACTCGGTACCCCATTATGTCAAGCTTTACACCACACCCTTCTCTTCTCCTCCTTCTCACCCTTCTCCTATCTCTCTCATTCTTCTCTCTCTCCGCTGCCGCAAAAACCTCTTCTTTCCATTCCCTACGTGTTCCAGGTTTTTTTTTGGTTAACTTTTGTCCGTTTTCGAAGGTTGGCTTTTTCTGAAACGGGTGTGCTTTGTTTGTGTTTTGGGTATTTTTCAGATGGAGTTGAGGGTGATGGTGAGGGAGAGTTCCGGAAGGTGCTACCGTGGAAAACGAGGAGATCGATGGCTGAAGATGCTCCGAGCAACACGTCTCTGATATTGGCTCAGAGAAGAACCACGAGGAAGGACCCTTTGGACAACTTTAACCGTTACACCGGTGGTTGGAATATCAGCAATCGCCACTACATTGCTGTCAGTTCCTACCTAACCTTCAATAACCACCACTCATGACTTTTTTTTTTATTCTTCTCAAAATCGTGCTTTAACGTGGTATCGGTCATTTGCTTCAAATTTTATTGATGTCTTTTATTTCCAAGTTCTGTTTGAATGTTTGGATAAATTTAGCGAGAAAATAAGAAGATAAAAAAAAACTGTTTTTTTTTGTACAAGCTAAACTCAATTTATGCATTTCAGGTTTTTGAACAGTGAGAGAAAACTTTTATAAAAAATTAGTGTGTATGTTGAGAGCGACTTACTTTCTGTTCCTACCTAACCTTTCATAACCATTTTTTTTTTAATTATGCTTCTATCGTAGTGCTTGCCATTTGTTTCCATTTTTTATTAGTTTTTTTGGTTCTGGTTCTTGGTAAATTTCTCAGCTAGAAGAAAATAAGAAGATAAGCTAAAATGAATTGAGTTTCATTTATATTTTATTAGAATCAATTTATGAATTTCAGTTTTTTTGAGAAATCAGATCACATAACTTCTATCAAATTAAATGACTTTAACTTGGAGAGACTCAAACTATTGTACTTATTATTTTTTTTCTCTTGTAAGTGTTTCCAGAGAAGAGAGAGTGGGTAACTCAAGAGTTCTATGTTCTGATGTTTGGACTGTTTTGGAACTATTAATAATGTTTGGTTAACTTGTTGTTGACTTTTTGGTGCAGTCAGTGGTTTTCACTGCGGTTCCCTTCTTTGTTGTTGCTGCGGTCTGGTTTGTGATTTTTGGGCTCAGTTTATCCCTAATCTGTTTGTGTTACTGCTGTTGTCCAAGAGAACCTTATGGTTATTCACGTTTGGCCTATGCTTTATCCTTGATCTTGCTCATTCTCTTCACCGTTGCAGCAATGTATCTCTCTTTCTCTCTCTGATATATAATGTGTTATCTCTGGTTAATATGACTTTTAAGGTTCTCTAAATGTGTTTGCTTGGTTATGTTAGAGTTGGATGCGTCCTTCTTTACACTGCTCAGGGGAAGTTTCATGGGAGCACCATGAACACACTGGAATACGTGGTGAGTCAAGCTGACTTCACTGCCGAAAACCTCAGGAATGTGTCAGATTATTTTGATGCAGCTAAGAAGATTGGAGTCGATGCCGTTTTTTTGCCTGCTGATGTTCAGAAGGAGATTGACGATATTAAGACAAAGATTAATTCTTCTGCTGCAGAACTTTCCAGCAAGACTGAAGATAATTCAGAGACAATTAAAGATGTCATAGATGCAATGTGAGTACGCTTGGAAATCTTGATTTGCTTTGAGGTTATAAAATGTCTTTTTTGCTGACAATTATCTATTTTGTGCTGTAGGAGACTGGCTCTGGTTATTGTTGCTGCTATTATGCTCTTTCTTGCATTTGTTGGATTTTGTATGTTTCGTTTATTCTGTTTTAATACGTGTTTCTATTTTGACTTTCTTGCTCTATGGTAAAGTTGTTTGCTGTCGTCTCATTTGACTGTTTTGTGGTCAAAACTTTCTGCAGTATTATCAATATTTGGGCTGCAAGGTCTTGTATACTTGTAAGTTAAATTAATTGAGCCTTTCTGTATATATTTTTTGCTTCTGGAATTTTTAATTCTTTATGGTTTGTCCTGTCAAATCATCTGTCAGTAAATCATGTGCTTTTAATGACTGCAGCTTGATCCTTATTGGGTGGATTCTTGTTGCTGGCACATTTATACTTTGTGGTATATTTCTCTTTCTTCACAAGTAAGTTCCTTCTTTTTGTAGAATTTATATTGGAATTTTTATTTTTCACTTTTGTGGTTGCTCTGTTAACATTTTTATAATGTGTCACTTAGTATTCACCTAGGGACAAGTCTGGGACCTCTTGTTTCAATGTTTAGCAGCCTTAGGATTTGGCCCTGGCTGCTGATTGGGAGCCTTAAGTGAACATTAAAGCCTTTTGTATGTATAAATCATCATGCCTTACCTTTTATTTTGCTTTGCGGGACATTAGGAAATGAAAAGTAAAACAATTTTCTTAAATTGGACATTTTCCAGTGTATTATTGTACATGGGGTTGGCTTCTTTTGTAGATTGAAGATTTGAGTCTTGGCAATTGAAGCTGTATATTTCCATCATAGTAGAACAAAATCTTCCTACTGGAAAAAAGTAGATACTTTCCAAATGCTTTGTTAATTAGTTTTGTGTTTTGAAGATCTTTAATTTTTGAAATTCTCATGAGGACACTCATTTAATCCCCTGTATTTGTATCATTTGATGAAGTTCATTTTCTGCTATAATCACTTGTGTTGAACTATATAACAATAACCTATTTTATTTCACATTTGCACCAGTGTGGTTGGAGATACATGTGTTGCCATGAATGAGTGGGTGCAGAACCCTACTGCACTGACAGCCTTGGATGAAATTCTTCCGTGTGTAGATAATGCAACTGCCCAGGAAACCTTGACACGAACAAGGGATGTGACTCATCAACTTGTTAAATTAGTTGACAACATCGTTTCCAATGTCACTAATAGAAATTTCCCACCTGCTGCTGGACCCTTGTACTACAATCAATCAGGGCCCTTGATGCCTCTTCTTTGTAATCCATTTAATCCTAACCTCAGTAATCGGTCGTGTGCGGCTGGGGAAGTTCCGTTGGACAATGCTGCAGAGGTGAGGTCTATTTTAAGATTTTGAAAGTAAATCTACTTAGTATTTGAAATGTTAAATATTTTTGTAATGACAATATAATCCAAATTTAATGTCTACATTAGCTATATAATTTTAAAATCTTTTTAATATATACCAGGTTTAATTACCAACCTAGCTGTTCGACAATTAACCCTGTACTCAACTGGTTCAGTGACTGGGTTGGTTTTATAACTATGCTATCAACTCATTATTCAACCAATATAATAAAAAATAAAGCTCAACCAGACCACTCTAGATAGCGTATACAGCCTAGACCTCTCTTTATATAAATATTTGAGACTGAAAAAGGTACAGAACAGTGAATAGGGTATAGCCTATCTAGATACAACATAAGACAACTTTATAAAATCTGTCACAATAGATAATAACACAATTAGTATTCTCGCTCAAGTTAGAACATATATATGATATGCACCAAGCTTGAAACATATAAATTGAAGTCAAGGTCATCTTAAAGATATGGTTAAAATATTTGCAAGTTGATAGCTTGAAATAATGAATTCGATACAAATCTCCTTAGAAAATGTCTCTCAAATAAAATGATAGTCGATCTCTATATGTGTTTAGTTCTTTTAGGATTGGAGACAATATGAAACACTTATCACAATTAAACTTCATATGTTGAGTTTCACAAGATTTTAACTGTTGAATGAGTTCTTTAGTCTACACAAGTTCACAAGTAACTAATCCCGTAGCATATTAAGCTTCCGAGCTAGTGCTAGCAACAATATTTTGTTTCTTGCTCTTCCAAAAAAATCAAATTTCTACCAATGGATTCACAAAATACAAAGCTAGAGCATCTATCTACAGTATATCCTACTACCCAATCAACATCCTAGGATATAGGGATTTGGTAGTCTCCCTTATCCTCATACATCAATCCTTATCTACTGGCCTTTTTGATATATCTAAGAATGTGTATGACAACAGTCCAATGGTAAATGTTAGGGTTCCCTATAATCTTCTATTTCTATTTAATTGATAAATTCTAACGGGATCATTCCCTCTAATCTATATAGACAACTAGTAAACACATTTCCTAGAGGATGTGTAGAATATTGAATTATCTGTCTTACTCCGTTTCAATCCAAATTCTTGTACCAAATGACTCAATTTCTCAAACTAAGCTTGAAAATATTGTTTGAGACCATATTATAGAGATATTATAAATTTGCATACTAAATTAGACTTATCTAAACAACAAACTTAGGAGGTTACTCTATATAGATCCCTTGTCCAATTCACCATGAAGAAACACATTTCTAATCTAATTGATGGAGAAGCCAATGGCTGATTAGCAGCCATAGTGAGAAAGAGTCTTATTATAGTGATTTTAGTGATAGGGGAAAAGGTATCACCAAAATCAAAGCCATAAATATGTGTGTATCCCTTAGCCATCAATTAGGCTTTGAAGTGATGGACTTTACCAGTAGGTCCAACTCTAATAGCATAGACCATATGCAACCAATTGGTTTCTTTCCAATAAGAGGGACCAATTCCCATGTGCTACTATGCTTCAAGAACATGTGTATCTATTATGATAACTTGTCACTATTCAAGATGATTAAGTGCATCTTGAACATTTTTTGGGAGTAGTAAGTGAAGATATAGAGGAAACAAAAGAGAAATACAAAGATAAACAATGATCACTAATAAAATTGTAAATAGGATGATAGTTTTGGGTAGATTGAATGCCTTGCCCAAGAGTGATAGCCCGGTCAAAATTATCACCATTAGGATCCTAGTAGGAGTGGTTGATGGTGAAGGGCATGATTTAGGGGACTTACGATTGGACTAGGTCTCTGTGGTTGATGTTGTGTAATGAAAGGAGAACAACTTGTGTTGGACTGTACGGGGGAGAATGCAGTTGATTGTTTTCTTGAAGAGGTAGTGCAAAAGGTACATAAGGGATGGGTAAGACATGTTGTATTGAAATAGTATCTTGTACAAAAGATGAGGCAAAATGAATATTTTCAATAATGTAACATTAGCCTACATATGGTACTTTCTAGTATTTGGAGAGTAACATTTATATCCTTTTCAAAGGCAAGAATAACCTAGGAAAAAACATTGAATAGTTCTAACAAACAATTTATCCATATTTGGAGAAATGGAGAAATATTATGAACGAAACATGTGCGACCCAAAACTCACGAATAAACATGAAATAGAGATTCAATTAGAAAAATAATTGAGTGAAGAAGACATCCTATTTTCTAGAAAACACTGAGAACATTATCACGCTACTGATGTGCAAGAACATTTGCACTAAGGATTAAGGTGCATGTAGTTTCCACTTAATGCCTATTAATTTTTTATTATTTATTCGATTTTGTTGAGGTATATGAGGAGAAGCAAATTGATGTAGGATGTTTAGTGGAGAGATAAGAAGCAGTGAATATGGTACACCCTAGACCTTTCTCTAAATGAAGCAAAAAAACAAAAAACTTTATATAAGAGCTTGTCACAACAGATAATAAACAACTATCTTAACGCAAACCAAGAGGGAGCAAGTTGAATGGATGAGGGAGATTAGTATGAGTGAAATATTGAAATGGCAGAAGATGATTCTACTACACATCCATTCATAAGATCATGTAGTTGGGTGTGATTCATTGGTTGCTGCAGAACCAATGGAGTATAATCACAATTTTGATATCTGGATAAAAAATTGCATATTCTGAAATCCAAAATGTGTGTAATGTTGAAATTTTGTCTCAAGCAGGTGTGGAAGAACTACACTTGTGAGGTTTCTTCGTCAGGCATTTGCAAGACGCCCGGTCGGATGACGCCGATCATTTACGGGCAACTGGAAGCTGCAGTGAACATAAGTTATGCCTTGTATCATTATGGTCCATTCTTGGTTGATCTACAAGACTGCACTTTCGTGCGGAAAACATTCACAGACATCAGCAACCAATACTGTCCTGGTCTGCAGACAAATAGTCAGTTGATTTATATTGGTTTGGTTTTGGTATCTGCTGCTGTAATGCTGTCTTTGATCTTTTGGGTCATCTATGCAAGGGAGCGGCGGCACCGTGTTTATACTAAACAGTTCATTGACGGCTAAAAATCATCCTTCTCATGTACATTTGAGTTCTATGTGGTGATGTATGTAGAGTTATTAATCTTACAATTACCATAATTGAGTAGAAATGTGTGAAAGTATTTAAGGAAACAGTTTATATGGTGGATAAAGTAATGGTGTGTTTTGATCTCAATTTTTTAATTTAAAACACAGATTGTTTGATTCTAATTATCTCAAAAGACCTTCATTTTTATTTGTTCAGTGCAATTATGTTTTTTTAGTTGTTCAAACTATTACTATTGTGCGTGCAAATTATTTTGAATTAAATAATTTATATATTATATTAAATTGAATAATTATATTTTGTTTGCGTGCAACTATTGCGTTGCCTATTATCTATTTATTTTTCTCAACTTCCGTATTATGTTCTGCTATGAAGCCATCATTATAATATTTTTTTTAAATAAAACGATGACATGTTTATTAAAATTGTAAAAGCTAAACATCTTAATTAAGCTTACCAATCAAACTTAAACAAACACAAAAATAGATAATAAACTTAGGAAAATAAAATACGAGGTTATGAATTCAGATTAAAAAAAATAACAAACTTAAAAATAGATAATAACTTTAAGAAGAGAAATAAAAATTTATAACTAGGCAAAATCAAAATTCATAATTAAAAATTAAATAAATTTAAATATAGTTAATAAAGTTAAAAAACAATTTTACAAAAAGATAGAATTAAAATGCACACAAAGAAAAATACAAATTTATGGAGAGACAAAGTGAAAATTCATGATAAAAAATAAAATAAACATAAAAAATAGGTACTAAGTTTAGAAAAAAAAGTTTATGAAGAGACTAAGTTAAAATTCATGATAAAAAAATTAAACAGACTTAAAAATAGATAACAAGCTTATAAAGAAATCTAATATTAGAACAAAAAACAAAATCAAAATTCATGATAAAAAAAACTTAAAAGGAGGTAATTCAACCTAATTTCTATAAGCATTATTCTTAATAAAATCAATGAAAAATTCCACTAAACAAAAATCTATGTATTAGCTAATTTATCACTACACATATCTCCTTCCAACCATATAATAATTTTTAAGATTTTACTTTTTAAAGATAAACATTCCTTTGATTTAATAATAATAAATTTTCAGAGTAATAATATCAGCATTATGATTTAAAGAAATAAATGATAAAGTATTAATTAATAGAGTTATTAAAGTCCACACTAAAACTATGTATAACTCCAATTATTATTTTCATTATTTTAAGACAATAACATTTTAATTGTTTTTCACTCAAGTTTTTATATTCTTAATATTTATAGATAAAATAATTCTAATATAAATAAATATATTAATTATATATTTTTTTATCTATATTATCATCTTCTGCAAAAAAAATAAAACGAATATATATATATATATATATATTCAACTATTATTTTACATTAAAAACCATGGTTCGAGGTGTACACAGTCTTCTCCACATTGGTGATGCTCCTCAGAACTGCATTCAATGATCTCATTATACCCACTAATTTCGATCCTTCCTTCTCTCAAAGCTAGAGGCCTTCTTCATAGCCAACCAAATAATCAAATATCTCTCAAAATCGACCAATTATGGAACCAAAATTCGGGCAGCATAATCAACTTTTCGCACCTACAAAAATCACTCAAAGTTGGCAAACCAGAAAACCAAAAGCACCTTAATCTCTCAGTAAAGCAAGGGAAGAGCTGGTGGACGAATTTGAAGGCAACAAGTTAAACATCCCTGGATGAAATATGTTGAATCGACATTGAGTTATCTCGTCAATTTGGCCTGTGACGCTGTCTTTCAGGTGTTCGATAAAATGCGGCACTGGGACGCCCCTCTGTTCAAGTGGAAATTGTGGAGACCTCGTTTAGTAGATGGATACATGGCACCCCAAGTACTGGTACCCACCTCTAATCCCATTTTTTTTCACATAGAGAAAAAAATGTGTGTTTATTTCGTCAACTCTTTGTGAAACTTGTTTGATTTCATGGTTTGTCCTGTGTTTGAGACTCTAGTCCGATTCATACCCAACTTTCTTATAAGGGCGCGCGCGCGTATGTGTATATATATATATATATATATATATATATATATTTTTTTTTGGTACCAATCCATAACTTGTTTATTATTTTTTATTAGTATTTTATATGATTAAAATATTATTAAGAGGTTAAACATACGATAGTTTCTTTTATAACCCTATACCATAAACTATTATATAAAAAAAAAACAAATTTATTTTCAACATACAATGATAATTTATTTTATAATTATTATCTTTGTATGAATTGTTATCATATATTCCATCAGTTATAAAAAGAATTATCTATATATAATTATAACAATTATAAATAAATTATTATTAAAAATATCGAAATTAATTTTAAAATTTTATATATTTAATATGACTCAAATGTAACTGTCGGTGGTATATTTGGTACAGTCGACTACATGAGATAGTGAGGATGTAAGTGGGTTGGGTGATTTGAAAGATGTGGGTTGGTAAGGTTACTCCTCTACTTTCTTACGTTATATATTTGGATTTTTAACAATTTTTTATTTCAATTATTTTATTATACTTATCGACGAATAAAATTTATTTACTCATGGATAATAGTAACAACTTTTTATTTATTTACTTTATTTATTTATCCATAGATACAATATCATTATTAACAAACTATTTTTTTCATAAAATATTTATAGATAAATCTTTTAATAAATTTCAAAATGAATGGTGTCAAACGGAACTGACAAATTATTCATAGGTCACGTGAAAATGCCTTGACCAACTAACGAACAATAAAGTTGCCAATGATTTAATATTATCGCTATATATATTATTTGTATCATTCCTTTTTAGTAATAATTTAAAATATAATTTATTTTAATTACTAAATTATAAATTGATTAATAAAAATAAAAAATAAATTTTTAATTCTTATTTTTTAGAATACGTAAATTCTTTTCATTATATTTATAAATTATTTTTAATTTTAAAGAATATTCAATTAGGATATGTCGCAGTTTTTTTTTTAAATCCTTTGTAAGGTATATATATAATAAGACACTTTAGTTTTTCAAAAATACTTAAATTCATCTAAATTTACTTTCGTCGTTTGCTGCAGAAATACTATACTATTTGGCACATCTAAATTCACCAAATTCCATTTTAGTTTAGGTCCATGTTTTTTACTATTAATACCAAATTTCATGCACATGGATTTCACGAAATAGCGTAAAACACTTATTGAATAAGATTATATTCCCATGAATTTCTCCTCATATTTATACAAGTAGAATATTCCAAGGTAAAATAGGTAACTTTTTCTCTGAGAAAAAAAAAGAGAAGAAGTTAAGGTTCATGATAAAATGTGTAAAAAAATTGAATGGTAAAATGTACAATTATACATAAAGTTAACTATTTACTTCAATTTTTATAATTTTTTTCCCACTTAGTTTTTTCAATTATTGAAATGTACAGGTCAATTTTAATTTATAAAAGAAGTTTTATGAGTGTTTACAGTATAAGCTCTTAAAAAGAAATTCTATGTAATTAATAAGGTTAAGGTATTTTAATATGATATAGTAAATCGTATCCTTAAGTCTGAGTAGTTTTCAAAACAACTCTAAATAGTTTGTTCAAATAAATTTAAAAAAACTATGATAAATTATATTTTCATAAATTCTTTGAAACACTGATAGAAGTGTAAATGTCATTAAGTCCGAATAAACAACAAATACACTGATCCCAAACATATTATCATAAAGTATTCAAGGATTCATGATATTTCTTAATTTGGAGTACAAAGCACACTTTTTCGGTTCTACATGATGCATCCATGATACTCTTATCTGGCCATAGCACGGTAAGGAAATGCTTGAAAAGAAGAACTAAGAGTAATACTTGGTAGCATTTGTAAACTAAACTAAAGTCCGAGCATGATAATGGTAGTAGCTACACTCTTATTTAACATATAGTTAAAACACCTCACTGAACATCAGAAGTGTGGGTGCCTCAGTTGGAGCCAGGAGGGTACTTTGGGTGAGGTGGCTTCCCGTGTGGTGGCCTGTAAACTGGTGGTTTAACAGGTGGCCTGTAAATTGGTGGGGACTTATAAACAGGGGGCTTCTCATATTGAGATTCATGCACAGGTGGTTTCCCATATGGTGGCTTGTACACTGGTGGTTTCTCTACTGGGGGCTTGTGAACTGGTGGCTTGTAAACTGGTGGTTTCTCAACAGGTGGCTTGTGAACTGGTGGCTTGTAAACTGGTGGCTTCTCAACAGGTGGCTTGTAAACTGGTGGGGACTTATAAACTGGGGGCTTCTCATATTGAGATTCATGCACAGGTGGCTTCCCATATGGAGGCCTGTGAATTGGTGGCTTGTAAACTGGTGGTTTCTCAACAGGTGGCTTGTAAACTGGTGGGGACTTATAAACTGGGGGCTTCTCATATTGAGACTCATGCACTGGTGGCTTCCCATATGGAGGCTTATATGCCGGTGGTTTCTGAACTGGGGGCTTGTAAACTGGTGGTTTCTCAACTGGGGGTTTATATACTGGTGGCTTCTCAACTGGAGGTTTGTAGACAGGTGGTTTCTCAACTGGGGGCTTGTAAACTGGTGGTTTCTGAATGGGAGGCTTGTACACAGGAGGTTTCTCTACTGGGGGCTCCACATAGTCAGCAAGCCCTTGAGGGGAAAGAACCAAAGCTGCAAAGAGCAGCACTAGGGAACTTAAGGAAGCCATGTTGTTCATGCTTTACTTGCTGAATAACACACCCAATGCTTGGTTTTTATACTAGTTAAGGGACTTACTGTTAGATGCATGTCTCAATCTAGAGTTACATGATGATGCGGTAGGTGTATACCTCTCTGTACAAGGTCAATCTTTGGTGTGGATTTTCAATAAATGTGCAGGTGTTTTTGTCTTCTTGTAGCTGCCAAGTTGGACATTAAGAAGGTACAATTACCTTTCTCACTAATTTTTTCATTTTCAATGCACCGACGTGTTACTTCCTTTGGAAGGAGTTACAATTGTGGGGTTAGTTTTAATCACGTGAATGCACTCCATATAATTGAGCAGTAGTTAGTTTCAGTTTTGCTTCTCAATTGCTTACTAATAAAGAAAAGAGTCTTAAGAGGAGAGACTGAGTTTATATGTACTTTACTTTGATATACAGCATCTGCTATGTTTGGCTTGTAATTTAAAACGGTGTAATACAGGAAAAATTACTTAAAATGTAAAGACGAAATGGTAATATAAGAAAAATATAGAGTCTGTAGCACGTACCTTTTTTCTTTTCAGGAAATAAACCTACCAGGAAGAACTAATGGTTACCTGATAAAATTGAATATGAACACGTATAACATCATAAAACTCTTGAAGAGAAAATTCAAAATATTCAAATATATATTTCATTAGATTATAAATAATCTATTTATAAACTAAATAATTGTAAGTGTAAATTTAGATGATAATTCTCAATATGCATCTGCTAACATCAGTTAAAAACTAAGCCACGTACATATGCAGATCTGGAGACTACTATGGCTGCAAACATATATTTGGCTCAAAAATAATGTTGTCTTTATTGAAAGTAACTTGTTGATTAGATTCTCGAGGCTTGATTTCCTGTTGAATTTGCCTAACAAATTTCATTCTTTTCAACCATTTTGTCAGAAAAGTCCACACACGAGATTGATAAGGGAAAATGTGCACCATATTAGTCACAAAAACAATTGCAATGCCTAACAATTCCCCATGTATATATAATGTCAAAAGAAAAAAACTACCCATACCATAACTTAATCATTATCCCTTTTCATTTTACTCATTTAAAATATAAGACAGTTGGAGATGTTTTTTCTTTTTTCACTATTTGACATCATTGACAATTTAATTGCTCATACATCAAGAGAGATTAAAATGTCTTTTATATTTTTTAATACTGGTTTTACCAAGTTCAACAATGCATGAAAATATTAAAAAAAAAAAACGTAAAGAATCCATATCATTTAAAAATATATATTATTGAGAGGTACATTATCAAAAAATAATTGAAGTTTTTTACTTGATATGTGTTAGTGGCAAATCGAGAAAAGCGATCGAAAATGAAGGAAAGAAATGTGACTCGATAAGATAAACAAAAATTCATTCGATGTCTAATTAGAAGTACGTAGTATATAGCATCGAGAAGCACAATCGAGAATTGAGTGGATGATAACCTAATGCCTGTTGTCGAATAAAAACTAAGTCATATGAGACCAGGGTTAAAAAGGAATCGTAAGCAATTTGAAGTTCTCGAAAAATACAGAATCGAGAGTAAAGAAAGTCAATGTAGACATTGAGACTTTGGCCAAATCGTGAAAGGAAGTAAGTCAAATGCACGTATAGAGAACGATTTCGAAACCATGAGAAAAAAGTCGGAAATCGTGAGAACGTGGGAAACTATAGAAGATAAACTGCCATACGCACGTAGAACGTGGTAGCAGTCGTGTTAACTGCTCTTGGAAGGCTTGAACGATGCCCTATAAATAGAGCAAAGGAGGAAGGAACAAGGGGCAGAAATTGGCAGAGAACAGAATCAGTAGTGAGAAGTCTACCGGAGAAACGACGAACACCATGAAGCTTCTGGCAATCTGGATTTCCTTGCTCACTGAGTACATTTACCGCTTTCTGTATTTTCCTTGGTAATTTACTTTGATGCAACTTAAATTCAGCAGTTTTATGTTTCTGTATTTCTCATTCCTTGTCATTTCAATTCAATGAAAGTTTAAATTTCTGTATTTAAGTTTCCCTGTCATTTACTTTCCTTGCAAATCTCGATTTCTTGTCATTTACTTTCTTTGCAAATCTCGATTTCTTGTCATTTACAATTAATGCAAATTTGGGGTTTCCGCACTTTACATTTCCTCGCAATTTAATATTTCGTTTCTCGATTCGATACTTTTACTGCTTTCGGTATTTTAAATATAAAATATAAAAATAGCATTTTTATATTCTGTGACTTTTGATTCTCATACACGTTTTCGATTGAAAGTCAAATTGCTAGCCTAAGTAAAAAAGAACTTACGTGGGAGGATTTTGATTAGGACCCAAAACACCTTTAGAATCGAAATCGATCGAAATTCCACCAGAAACAAATTGGCGCGCCAGGTAGGGGCGGGTGTTGAAAAACATAAAATTGGTTAGTTCGAAGGTGTATGAGATTAAGGAGTGGGAGAGTTATAAGAATGAGCCAGAGTTCATCAAATAACCAGAGTAACAATGAGGGTCTAATTGGTGTGCCTCCGCCAAATACTGGGGGGCAAAGTCATAATGGAAATACACCTGTAATATCGACAACTGTAAATATGTCGATACCCGTGAGTAATGAACAAAATTCAGGCACTGTAGCAAATACCCAAGTAGGATCTAGTACGACGGCACTAAACAGTATGCAAACTATGGGAAACCCTATAACAACAAATGCTGGGCCGTATATGAGTGTAAGACCACCTGGGTTTTCGCTTAACATGAATGGGGTTGGTACTTCTTCGATGCAACGAAATTCGAGATATAACTTAGGAACATTTCAAACCCTAGGTATGCCACAGAATTTTGGAGCATCTCCGAACCTAGGAACATCTCAAAATTTAGTAATTCCTCAGAACTCAGGGAGTGTGCAGAATGTAGGAACGCAGCAAATACCTCCAAATCTAGATCATAGAGGAAACTTAGATCATGGGAGATATACGTTCGATAGGGATTATCATCGATCTAATTTTGACACTATCGAAAATACTGGTACTGGAATATCTAGTAACTCCTTAGGAATACTTAGACAACAAATGGATGAGAGTAATTTTGAGATGGTGAATATGTTATCACAACAGTTGACTACAGTTCTAAATCCATTAGTTCAAAACACTACAGCTAGTTTTGAGATATTAGCAGATCAAATGTCATGAATCGGGGATGCATTGGCTGTACCTCGACGAACAAGGGTAGAAAATCATGCTAACCAGAATACCAATATCAATCCCCCATATCTTTTAAGGAGAAATCGAAACAACGATCAACAAATGGGAAATGAGTACCAACACGTGAGGAATGACATTTATGGGAATTTGAACGAAGGATTTCAAAACATACACAATCAGAATAACATGTTAGGACAAAGGATGAATTTACAAGGGATGGAATTTAGACCACCCAATTAGACATATTTTGTGTCTCCCTTTCCGAATGCGATTCTCGAAACAGAATTGCCTCGAGGATATAAAGTACCCAAATTCACTAAATTTGCTGGAGAAGTTGGTGAATCGACGATCGAGCATGTGGCTCGATATCAGATCGAATGCGGGGATTTAGCGATGAGTGAAGAATTAAAGATGAAATATTTTCCTAGTTCTTTGACTAAGAATGCTTTTACTTGGTTCACTTCGTTACCTCCCAATTCGATATATAATTGGTTGCAGTTAGAGAGAAATTTTCATGAGCAATTCTTTAGAGGAGAAACTCAAGTAAGTCTCATCGACTTGATGAATACAAAGAGATACAATCATGAAAGCATAGATGATTATTTGAATCGATTTAGACAAATGAAATCGAGATGTTTTACTCAAATTCCTGAATATGAATTAGTCAGAATGGCCTCTGCAGGTTTAGAATTCTCGATTAGGAAAAAGTTAGTCAATTTACCATTGAATGATATGGCTCAGTTAGCTGATAAAGTGAGAAGAGTAAAACAAATCGAATATGAAAAACAAAGATATAAGAAATTTGAGAAACCGATGAAGAAAGAAAGAATAGCATATATAAATGATGTATATGAAACAGATCCCACGACAGAAAATGATGTGGAAGAGACTGTCGATGAGAAAGTAAACATAGCAGAGCTTAGAGTAGGAACTCCGTATATCTGTAAAATGCTACAAAAAAATGAAGTAAAAGATAAGATGACAAATCGAACATATACTTTCGATGTGACAAAGGCTGATAAAATTTTCGATATCTTATTAAAAGATAAACAAATTAAGTTGAGCGAAAATCATAAATTGCCTTCGGTAGAACAAAGGAATGGTCGAAAGTATTGTAAATTTCATAATGTTTTTGGACATTGGACTAACAATTGTATACATTTCAGGAATATGATACAAGATGCGATTGACCAAGGGAGACTGAAATTTGAAGAGATGTCGATGAAAGTGGACACGAGTCCATTCGAAGTGCAAGTGGGGTATATTGAATCCCAAACGAGCATGACTGATGATGTCCGAGTGACAAATTCGGCCTTTATAGGCATGGTTGATGTTACTGAAGACATTGATCCCAAACATGTTAGGATGGATGTATCTGAGGAAGATATGGAATTTGACCTGAGTGAATTCGAGAAGGAGTTCGAAAAAGAGATCTACCCTCAATCAGGAGATTCCCTCATTGAGTTTTTGAATAGAAAGAAAGAAAAAGACGAAGATGTGTCGTTATGCCCACGATGCAGTGCGGTGTTCGATAAATCGGCTGCTAAAGCTTTCAAATTAGAACAGATAAAGAAGATCGAGAGCCAAAATAAGAGGAAAAATGACAAAGTGGATCAAACGGCCCGACCAATGATCGAAGAAAGTCAACAGAAATCCGTTGGTTCTGGTGTTAGCGGAAATCAAAGGCAATGGGTCAGAAGAGAGATGTATCCTTCTCGAGGAAGAAGAGGCAGACTCCAGAGCAATGATGTCTTCGAGAGATTGTCATACGATGAAGGATCGAACACTGGATTC